GGCAGGGGGGTTGGACTAGATGACCCACAGAGGTCCCTTCCAACCCCTACCATTCTGTGATTCTGTGATTCTGTAATTGCAAGCTCACATTAGAATTCCCTGCTCACAGATATCTGACAAATTATACTGCTGTAAAATCTTCAATTGAAGTCCAAGTCAGCCACTTAACCTCCTGAGCAATAGTGAAAGTTCCACTGGCCCCCCTACATGGGTCAAAGAAACTTCTGTTATAACCAGTCCCTTCAGATATTGTGTTACCTTACTCATTATTCAGGAGGTTCCCAAAAGTAATAAATTAATTGCTTCCATACCATGTAAATAGACACAAGAGATTATGCAAACCACGAGGACAGAAGTAGTTAGGCTACGCTGAAAGAAATAGCCTTAGCACATCAGTTGAAAAGGGATGCACAAAACATGACAATCTAAAAGACTGGGCACCACTTCTCCAAATCTGTTGCACTTAATACCAAAATAGCAAAGTAGTAGCTCAGCTTTGCTGTTCGACACAGATGTTAAGTGTTCATCTATCTGGAGATACAAAAAGTTGGTAACTAGAATATATAAACTCATAACACAGTAAACCATAAAGATCTGTTCCTACACCATCCACCATTACCGGAAAAAATACCGAGCTAGAAAATCTTACCTGTCCGAATAAAGAATGAGACTGAGGTTTTCTACAGCATCTGTTACTTAGGAACATACCAGAAAGTCCCTGTAGTTGCCCAATGCGAAACAAAAAATTAAGTTTGCCAAAACCAAAAGTTGCTTTGTTGTTTGTATAGATGTCACTTAGCCTTAAGATTAAAATCACGAGTAACAGTTTTTTCACATCAAGTCTACATTAAGAAATAACAGCAAGAATTCTCTCAGCCAGAGTCAGCCTTGTGGCAGAGCTGGAAAAAGTTCTCAAATGCCAAGAGAGCTAAAAGCACAGCTCCGCACGATGAACTGGATGATGCCTAAGAAAAGCAGAGAATCTCATCTGACAGGCTGTACTGAAAAGAAAGCTAGCATACTAAATCTCAGATTAAAACACATCTACTACACAGAGCAAAGTTATCTCCTCAGTGAAACAGTTCTCGTAACAAAACGAACACCCCACCTACACACAATGTCCCCTGGAAAGCAGAGACAAAGGCCCTTAAGTTTATAAACCTGACAGTTCTTCACAGCACTGCCATTTTCCCCAAACGAGGAAGATACAACTCAAGCTACTCCTTTCATCAAAGTCCACAGCTTGCTTCTATTAACCCACAACATGTTACATGGGAGGTTTTATTTTGTTGTTCTTGGTTGGTAGGGAGGTTTTTGGTAGTCTGGGATTGGGGTTTTTTTGGGCGGAAGGGGAGGCGGGTGTTGTCGTTGTTCATTTGGGTTTGTTTGCGGAGAGTTTCTTTTTAGACATAAGAACAACTTTTTATATTATCCATTTAGCTGCAGAATTCTAGAAGAGCAGGTAAATGGTTCATTTTCTGAAGGGAAAAAGTTCATCCTCACTGGGTGAGGACTACTTAGAACTGCCCTTTAAGAACCTTCTGTTCTTGAGGTTCCACTCTGTCACCTCTCCCGTTCGGCACCTGAGAAGAAACACTGTTCCAGGTATCTAATATATATATTCAGTTATAAAGACTCTGGTGTCTCACTCAGCAGTAGTCTCTCTATGCAAAGTATACTGATAACTGTAAATGTAACAAATGTAACATGTAGGGGATGTTATCACTTCAGGTGGTCAGAAACAAGTCTTGGTTCTTTGTGAATAATTCGGACGGTTGCAAGACAAGGGACTCCTGAATAATCCCTTTAGGCGCCTGGGCCTTGGGAGAACAGGTATGCAAACTACAGAGACAAGGAGGCTGCAGGATAATCTGAAGCCCCCCGCCGAGAGACGCCAAACAAACATGTGCGATGGACATTACCATATATTAATGAATTCTCGGAAAAGCCATTACTATGATAAACATTTCTTGGAAATGTAATGAATATGTATGTTAACATAGCATAAATACCTAGTAACTGTGTCTCTTCGGTGCACACGTTTGGAGGAGAGATCCCCCGTGTGCACGGCGCCGCAATAAAGAATACCTGCTTAATAATCTGCCGACTATTGAGTCTTCAATTCCGGCTTCTCACGGCATCAACTGTTAATTGTCTGTGTTTGTGGCACTCACTTTCCTAGTATTCAGTATTGCACTGAGTATCTCGGATTACTTTTTCTTTAGCATTGCTACTTGTTATCACTGATTGCAATTTTAGATGAAATAAAGAATTCTAAGTCTTTGCTTTTCATATACCTCCATAATATGATGTATTGAATGCTTTAGGCTTTTACATACAAAAAAATAACAATAGAACTAGTCATGCTATTGGCAATATAAAAAGAAAAAAATTCTTAATCATTCTAAGAAGGAAGGTGATTTGCGTTTGATCTGAGTAACACTAATTATTTCTGCCTGAGATACATTCAAGGCAGCTGTGTAGGAGTTGAATGGTTTAGACTTCACTATTTGTCTTTTTTTCACTTCTACTTCTTACATGGTTTTCTTTGGCTTTTTGTTTTTATAACAGTTGCATACAAGGTATCCATAAGCTTATGGCTATTATTTAAAGATACACAAACAGATATGATGAATTGAAAATACACACAACCTACTTTAGCATAGTGGAAGAAATAGTGTGTGTAGAACTAGTTCATGAGTAAGTTTAATAGAAATAGAGGGTTCTCTGAAATACAACAAAATTCGTTTTAAAAATGTGATCAATGAGAAAAAAAATAGAAAACATCTGCATTTTTCTGGTCAGCTATAAGAAAAAACAGTACTACTAGTTTTGCATAGCTATAGTTCAGATTTCTGAAGATGTATCATTAGTATCTGAGATAGTAATATCTTGACTGATACAAGGAAACATGGACTTTTTGCAAGACATGCCAGTGAACTGTAGCATTCTAATCTTGAGTCCTTAGCTCAGCAAATAGAATGCTAAAATGCTTTTCATCATTATGGCTTCATCTAAAATTAATGTCATCCCACTGACGCATTTTAGCAGTGCAGTGCTGTGCAGAGATAAGTGGTCACAAGTAAGAAATCTTTAGTAATGAAAACAGTGATGCTGAATTGAGCTTCGTTTTCTCCTTCTTGCTAGTCCTTTAGGTTACGTCAGCCCAGCATATTCATCAGTGTTCTGGTTTCGGCTGCAGCCGGCAACAAAAGCGCCACGCGGCCGCCCCTCTCCCCGCCGGGGTGCGGAGGAGAATGGAAAGAAACAGGCAGAAAC